TGAAATATACAGGACCAAGCTGACAACAGGGTTTCTCAGGAAATAAACCATCGTAACGATATAAACGTTCAAATGTTATACAGATTTATAATCGATGTATAATACGTGTTAAGAAATGTATAAATGACGACAAGTGTCTTCCCCAGGAAGAGAACCCCGTTTTATAACAAACTAAAATCACAATATAGAGACCGCATTAGCTAGTAGCTCCTCCGCCTGATTCAAAACTGATCTAAACCGTGTAGTGGACGAACCGGCCCAGATTAAAAATCATCATTAATAACCATAAACCGTTTCAAACAACAAACATGATACTTATAAGGTGAAATGTGGTAGACTGATTAATATTTAGGGACAATACCTCGGCGTTAAGACACGGTTGGAGGTGAAGCTCAACTGACGCGACTCTGACTTCCGTCAGAAGCACTTAAATTACATAATAAAGGTTTTCCTCAACTACTCAAACTGATAAGATGATGATTTAAATAAATTATCCTGTTCAGGTCCGAGATGGATAAGTTGATTGAGTACTTGTATTTATTTTAATGGTATGTATCACTTTGTTTTGAAGTTGTTTTGGAGTATTCTCAACCAAAAATGAACGCGGCTAAATAAATGTAGGAATATAGTCTGTGTGTAGTGATGATGGGAGAAACGGAGCTGTCTGAATCTGTCAATCAAAAGAATCAATTGATTCGAAAAATGATTTTCTATTTCGAAGCGCTCGAAACACCGCTGAGGCCATCTGCTGGTCACATGTATGCTAATGCGATGGAAATACTCACGACTGCAATCAGAGATATGCAACTTATACATATCTATGACCACAGTGCTAGGGAATTCCTGCCACAGTCTACATTTCTGAATCTTCGCAGAATATGTACACTTTAAAGTATGAGAAATATAGTTGTTTTAAATCAAATCTGTGTTCATGCTAATACAATAGTCGTGTTTTTTATATAATTGTATTCACTCCGAAACGTACGAAACAATTAAATGTCTTTGATACAGAAAGAGTGATCTGTTATCTGGTCAGTTTGGACACTTTTATTTTGACGAGTGTTCACAAAAAGGTGTCGGAAGTTGTTTTGATGTACTTCCGTAGATAAAGACGAACATGGCAGAACGAGGATACAGTTTTTCTCTCACAACATTTAGGTAATTATGTCCATTATTGGTTGATATGTGGCTGTAATATTTCATTATAAATCTTTAGTTGCTTGCATTCACTGAAAATAGTTGTGTTTTGTTCAACATGTGCGTTACGCGTGCTTAATTGTGTGTCACATCAGAGATGCAGTGTCACGATGTTAGTTACAACGGAGCTTTAGGACTGTTGTTCATTTTCTCTATTAGTGCATTATTTATTTTTACTTAAGTTATTTATTGTCATGTTTTACTACAGATTTTGTGGCGAATATTATTCTTTTTTAATCCATTAATCTCTTGTGGTTTGTACAATATTCAGTGACCTAATATAAAAAAAAAAAGTATATAAAATTAGTTAGTATGAAGCTTTTGTTAAAGCTAAAAAATCTGTCAGTTTGAAATTATTAAAATAATTGAATTTAAATGATTTAAAATCAAAATTATGTACATCTGAATTGGTCGAAAATAAGTTATACATTCAGCTTCAGTTTAGATACATTTCAAATGTATTTCTGTAAAACAATGCTTTTTTTTTTTCTTCAACACAGCCCCTCTGGGAAACTGGTGCAGATTGAATATGCTCTGGCGGCTGTAGCAGCCGGTGCTCCATCTGTAGGAATCAAAGGTGTGTTTATATATAGATCAGTCTTTGTCACCTTTTTAACCCGTGCTGAGTTTGCATTTCTGAGGTATGCTGCACTTCAATCGTAAATTTGTTTTGAAGGATCTTTTGTCATTTTGCAGCATCAAATGGAGTTGTGCTGGCAACTGAGAAGAAACAGAAGTCCATACTGTATGATGAACAGAGCGTGCACAAAGTTGAGCCAATAACCAAACACATTGGCATGGTGTACAGTGGAATGGGTCCGGACTACAGGTATGAAATAAACAGTACTGTTAGGTTACTAACATTCCTCAAGTATCTTCCTTTGGCTATCTCACTGACCGCTTAAGTTGCTATGATCTAGATGGTCTGTAGGGAATGATCTCTCTTGACAGGGTGCTGGTCAGAAGAGCAAGAAAGCTGGCGCAGCAGTATTTCCTGGTATACCAAGAGCCAATCCCCACTGGCCAGCTGGTACAGAGAGTGGCTTCTGTTATGCAAGAATACACACAGTCAGGGTACGTTCACTTCTTTTTATCTTTTATTATACTTTACTTTAATTAGAGCACTTGTGGTAATTTAGTGTCATGTTTTCTAGAGGTGTGCGGCCATTTGGAGTCTCTCTTCTCATTGCCGGTTGGGATGAAGACCGACCATACTTATTTCAGTCAGACCCATCGGTACAACAAATAAATATCAATCACAACTTTTTCATCACCGTTTATTTTCTATTCAACATGCAGCCATTTATGTTGTAAACTCACGTCTCAATGGTGATATCCCACAGGGAGCATACTTTGCCTGGAAAGCCACAGCAATGGGAAAGAGCTATGTCAATGGAAAAACATTCCTTGAAAAAAGGTATCAAATAATCAACTTGTTGATTTATTGTAGTGTATAAGATAGAAAAAGATGGGAAGGATTTTGCAAAAGATTTACAGCATGGCATTGTACAATTTGATTACAGATATAATGAAGATCTGGAACTTGAAGATGCTATACACACTGCCATCTTAACTTTGAAGGTGAGTTTATCTCTAAATTACTATTAACTTCCTATATCACATGGCTCAAAACAAGATCAATAGCATTTTTTTTTCTTACAGGAGAGTTTTGAAGGTCAGATGACAGAGGAAAACATTGAGGTGGGCATCTGTAATGAAGCAGGATTTCGCAGACTGTCACCTGCTGAGGTGAAGGATTACTTGGCAGCAATTGCTTAAACTACAGCACTGCAACTGCTTACACAGTTTACTATTTTGGTTTGGTTGTTAATTTGAATGTTGCAGTTTTATTATTTGTACATCTGTGTAACTGATTTCTTTATAAAAGGATACATATTATCAACAAATGTTACATCCTGCTTATTTCACTGGCATCTCTTTCTGTGATTTTTGTACCTACATTTTAAGGTGTGTGATCTGAACCGATCTATTATTTAAAAAAGGCAACGGATATGCATTTCAAGACCTGCTTCGTCACAGTACTGTCCTTGCTAATGGGATCTTTCCCCGAGGCTCTGTTCATGCCCATTTTTCAACATAAAGTGTTGGCATAAAGAAAAAAAAATTACTTCACTCCAAAGTGTTGAACAAAGTCTGAAAGGTTGTAAACCTCTCCATATCCCACTCGAGCATCCATGCAGATGAAGTGATCAAGATTCATTTTCGATTCTGTGAAAAGAACACATACCGTGTAAGAGGAAGACGAAATTATGATATTGTTACTCGGGTGTGCCCTTTTATCTTACACCTTTAACCCTTTGATTATTCAGGTAGGGTAAGATTAGTCAAATCTAGCCTAAACCATGAAGTACTCACCAGCCGGCAGGTTAAAGTTCTTCAGGAATGACTCTAAGAGTTTACGTTTAGAACTCGTAGCTTGGCTGATTTTGTTTTATTTTTGCATTAACTGCTTTGTATTGTAACTAATAAAATAAGAGATTTTATTGTTACAACTCCTTCCCCGTGAGACTTCACTTATAACTACAAACTGAGCCTCAAACAAGAACAACCACAAGGGGGGAGTCTTCTACATCATTCCTGAAGAACTTTAACCTGCCAGCTGGTGAGTACTTCATGGTTTAGGCTAGATTTGACTATCCTTACCCTACCTGAATAATCAAAGGGTTAAAGGTGTAAGATAAAAGGACACACCGAGTAACAATATTTACAGAAGTATGTGCCTAATTAACAGACCACTCATTTTACAACAACCTGATGTCTCTAAACATGGGTATGGTGGGGGCGGCATACGCCAGTTCCCATCAGAGTCCTTCATATGTGACCGATCAGAAGCAAACTTCTTCATGTAGATGTCGCCTGGTATGACACGAAGTTTCCTGAAACAGCAGATAACCATTGATATGGCTAGCATTATAAACTTTTTGATTAAATGCAGTTCAGTTCAGATCAGTTCGTAACTTGCCTCCAGAAAGCAGGTTTTAAATTCTCATCAGAACGAAAGGCCTCCTTTGAATATACATCAAGTAAGCAAGGGAAGGGAAGGATGGTGTCTAAATCATATATATAGCTCTGTCCTTGTTTATTTGCGTGTAGAAGAATAACATGGTAATCCTAAAGGCAAGTGCACAAAAAAAATCTTATTAGTAAGAGTTTAGTTAAAAAAAAAACTGTTTATTTTTCCTTATTAAAAATTGCTCTTACCCAGATTACTGGTTGATCCCCTCGACTGGATTTTTGTTTCCAAATGGGTATCTGTATTAATTGTACAATTACACATTTACAGAAACTATACAGTACACTAACATCAATATTATATACGACATTAATCAGCCTCACCATTTTTCTTTCATTAGATATAAAGACTGCATACACTTCATCCAACGAGCAAGTGCCCTGATCATTGACATATTCACACAATTTCCACACGTTCTCCTCACTGCAAGAAAAAAATGAATGAGTGAATAAAATAAATATTGTTCATTTAATACAAATGTAGCTACTGATGCGACATGGTTACACTTACCAGTAACAGCTGGTGTATACACACTGGTTTCTAGACGGAGTGATAATTGTATATTCAGACGGGGCGCTTTCTGCGTTCATTCTTTCCATTCACATGCTATACTGTGATGTCTTTTGATTATAACGACATTAAGAAAAACAACAGTACAAACAACACTAAAGCGATTCGCGTTGTTATCGTACAGTATGTGTTTGTTACAGTTTATTTGGTCCGTAAGGAACTTTAGACAGGTTTGTCGTTCCGGTGCGTCAATGTAGCAATGCGCGAACGTTCAGTCCTCATGTGAATGCAATGTGCACGATTAGCACTATAATTGTTGAACGAATTGCTAGTTTAAAAGCACGATTAGAAAACACGTTAGCGAAAGATAATGTGCAATTAGACATCTCTTTCAGTTTCAAATAAAAACTGTTAATGGGTTAAACCAACCCAATTCTACATTTTCACAACAAAGATGTGTTCCTCTTGTTAGACTACATACTGTTAATTAAAGTAGGCTATTTGATTTAGTGACCCCCGAAAAGTTTGGGGGTCACTAAATCAAATAGCCTACTTTAATTATTTTAACAGCTGCATTAAGATAACCGTAAGTGACCGATGGTATTTATAAATGCTGTTCTTTTGAACTTTTTATTAAAGGAATCTTGAATGTTTCACGGTTTCCAAAAATAATAATCAGCATGAAAAATGTATAATCAGCTAAGATAACAAACTCTTAAGCTGCAAATCAGCAGGGGATGATTTCTAAAGGATCATGTGACACTGACTGAAGACTAATGATGTAGAAAATTCAGCTTTACCATCACAGGAATAAATTAGAATATATTAACAGAACATTATTAAAATTGAACATTGATCAAATAAATGGAGCATTAGTGAGGCATTAGTTTAAGCTCCCAATTCGGACTTTTTGCTCAGAAATACGAGATTATATAAAAGTCAGAATTGTGAGATTCAAAACTAACTTTTAAATGGTTTCTGTAGACAAGCTACACGCGTGGTATGGCCTTTAAAGACACACCTGATTCAACAGTTAGATAATTGACATTATCTGTTCAAATTGTATAACTAATTTGAATGTAAAATTTGGCTATATAAAAAGCACTGTGACGGGGTCATGTTGAAATAGCCTATTCAAAACATAGGTTTGATAGTAAACAACAAATAATTCTTTATTTGCTAAAATATTATCAGAAGTTGTCTTCTTTATTCTTATTTCATTAAATCAAATAACGTAAAATGCTCTAGCCTTTTAGAATAGCCTACTGAATGAACTTTACACTGTGGGCCTGTTTAATTTGGGGTGAAAATACATTCCTCCACTATTTGCACTGTTGCATCTATTATTTGGACCGTGAGTGGTTACCTCATTTGTATAAAACAAAACAGGCCCAATGTTTTAGGCTGCTATTTAAAAAAAAAAATCAACAATTAACCTCATTCTTGTTTGCAAGTAACTGCCAATGAATGTTTTTTAGAGGAATAGCCTAAGAAACCGCCCCACCATTAACACCTCGTTTTTATGAACAGCACTTACTGATGGAACGCAACACCTTTAGACCCACTGAGAGCTACATCATGGATATAAATGGGGCCTGATCTTCTCAGTCTTCAGTCTGAGTCTGGACCAGGAGCTCATCATGACTAACAACAGAGTGAAAGGAGGATTCAGCGGTTTGCTGGCAGAATCAAGTGGCGTTCCGAGAAGGAGATACAAAAGATACACTACAGGCACTTACATCGGACTTATTGCGTATGCAATTCAAGATTCACCAGACAAGATGCTCACATTCAAACAGGTAACAAATCTGCTAAATATTAGACTTTGCAGTGTTGTCTTGCATTTCTATGACATATGCTAACGTGGTTCCCTTTGTGCAGATAATGAAAAAGCTGGAACCATTTGTTCTCGGAGACAAAAAAGGCATTGAGAACAACACCAGAGTCTGTCTTTCATCAAACAGGTGTTTTGTAAAGGTGAGTTTAGTCAATTTTGAGGCAACGAATTACAATTCATGTGCATAGGCTAATGTTAGTAACAGTCTGTTCTATTTTTGTTTGTATTTTTAATAGGTCCCAGTCGATCCGGATTATCCAAATCCTAAAAAGAACTTCTGGAAAGTGGATGAAAATGGCATTACTCCAAAAATGTTTCGCCGACATTTCAAATATCTAATCAACATGTTCCCTGGCCTGTCGATTCAGACACAGCAGGTGGATGAGTGTGAAGACAATGCTCCCGAGCCTCTTATTCCAGTCTGCAAGGTCACTGAAAGGAAAAGTGAAGGCAAATTTACAGGCCCCTTTTCCATAGAGTCATTATTGAAGAGCGACCGCGAAGTGAAGCGTTTGGAGGAGCACCCACACTACACCGACGCACAGCTTGGAAGGAGCAAGAGAAAAAACGTTTATGAATATGAAGCTGTGAAGTGTTATTACCCTGTTTCAGCGGTAGGATGTGAACTGGCCTCAGCGAAAAGACCTCGTCTATCTTCAGGACCTCAGTTCAGACAGTTTCTGCCTCCACATGTCACATATGACCACCATGTTCTCTTCAGCTCTCCTTTAATGTATGATATTAGATATGCCAGGTGGTAAACAGCCAGAATGACCACATGTGAATATGATGAAATCGCACTTTATTTTTGTTGTTGTTTTAAATAAAACCCATCTTTTTTTCCCCCACTTAAATTGTTTACTTTGATTACAGATAACTTATAGTTTTATTATATAGCTCTATATATAGGATATACAGTCAAACCAACATTTATTCAGACACCAGATATAATTTTTTTTATATATTTTTACTAGTGGGTGCATCATTTATGTAAGTGAGGATAGCAAAATAAAGTAATGCGAGTTACGTAATCATATTACTTTTTTCAAGTAACTAGTCAAGTAACGCATTACTTTTTAATTTACAAGAATATCTGAGTTACTTTTTTTTCTTGAATTGACAGCTCTCCTGTCCCCATGTTGAGAAATCAGATGTTACTGTAGTTCTAAAATAAATATGAATGTGCATTCATTAAAATCACTCACACACAAAAAACAGATTCAGTATTCCTCAAAACGAATAAAAATAATGCAACTCAGAATATGACGCAAGCCTGCCATAATTAAATGTTAAACAACACAAATATCCTTTATGTATTTAATCCAATTCCCAATGTCTTTGCTTCTGACCTTCGATGATCCAGTTCAACCGTACTAATAAGCACAAATTACTCTAGACAAACATTTGTGTCTTTGTTTATTACTGAAGTGTGTTGAAATGTCTTCTTCTGCATTCTACTGTACGGTCGTAAATTTACTTTCCCTGTGAAAAGGCTTTTATATTGGCCAAAAAAAGTAACGCAAAAGTAACGTAACGCATTACTTTCCATAAAAAGTAACTAAGCACCGTGAATCGTTACTTTTTTATGGAGTAACGCAATATTGTAATGCATTACTTTTAAAAGTAACTTTCCCCAACACTGACTGTGACGTACCCAAAAATTCTTCATGGACTACCAGTAAAAGTTATTCAGACACTTTGACCTGACCATGTTTTGCTTAAGTGTTATCTGATATTATCAAGATTTATTTGTTCTGACTGAGTAGAACTCTGAGTTCTTGTCATATTTTACTACCATTTTCTAAACTATAGCGAATAAACTGTGATAATGTGTGAAATGTTGAAGGTGTCTGAATAGATTTTGGTTTGACTGTATATATATTGAGAGAGAGAGAGAGAGAATATCATTATTTACAATAGGTAACATTTGGAGCACACCCAAAGGACCCATAGGAGCCTACACATTTTATTTAAAAAAAATGGTATGTCCGGTATTTGTTAGGTTAACAGTGGAACATAAATCAATCCCAAACATTAACAAAACATTTCAAAAAGTGAGATCTCAGAATACAATGTATTTCACATAGGCTACATTAGCATTCACATAATGTTTGATCTCGTCAAGCAAAACAGGTCGAGCAGTAAATCGGTGATTAGCACATCATCCAAGATAATGTTCACATAATAGTGGAGCTACTTTCCCTTAAAAAGCATGTTTGCTTAGCGCCACAAGGTTTATTTTCGCATTTGCCACGGGGTAGCGGTAAAATCTTCAGGTTGGATTTTGATGTAAATCTCATTAAAGCAGCTAAAGAAAATGGACTTAATTCATTAACGATAGCGTATACATAAACACGGGAAGTATAAATATAAGTATAAATTAACTATAATTGATGTTATTTCTAATTATCTAATTTCTAGTCTTTTAAAAGCTGATGTCAATTTTGACCTGTTTTGTGAAACCAATATCTTTCATGGCTTGAAACCATTTTGGTCTAACATGTTTTCACTGTTCCCAAATAACACCATGATTCTGCATTATTTACCCAAAACACACACTATAAAAAAGATTTTCAGAAGTTGTAAATAAAACAAAGTTTACTATAAATATTTGCTATAAAAACATTAGATCTTTTTCAAAATATAGCGTATACATAAACACGGGAAGTATAAATATAAGTATAAATTAACTATAATTGATGTTATTTCTAATTATCTAATTTCTAGTCTTTTAAAAGCTGATGTCAATTTTGACCTGTTTTGTGAAACCAATATCTTTCATGGCTTGAAACCATTTTGGTCTAACATGTTTTCACTGTTCCCAAATAACACCATGATTCTGCATTATTTACCCAAAACACACACTATAAAAAAAGATTTTCAGAAGTTGTAAATAAAACAAAGTTTACTATAAATATTTGCTATAAAAACATTAGATCTTTTTCAAAACAAATCAAATCAAAATAAATAATATCGTTTTAGTAATTAGCAATAGGCCTATATTTCCTATATTTCAAATCCTATACATATACTGTATATATACATGCATACATACATACATACAGTGGGTATAGAAAATAATCATATAACACCAACATGTCAGAAAAAAACAAACAAACCAGAATCACTGAGTTGTAAAAAGGTGGTAAAAATGACTTGTAAACTCAGGTGCAGCTAATCACCTTCTCAATGCACACAAAGCCATTTGACTTTCAACTGTGATCAGCTGTGGTCAGCATTTAAATTAGCTCATTATGAAAAGAGCTTTCCTGGAGCATTTCAGTCCTTGACTGTGCAACTGAAGCAAACGATCAACTATGGGTGGCAAGGCACTGTCAAAAGATCTCCAGGATAACGTTGTGGATGTGCACAAGTCAGGAGATGGATACAAAAAAAATTCAAAGGCTTTATCAATGCCTAGAAACACAGTGAAGTCTATTATTAAGAAGTGGAAGGTATTTGGTACAACAGAGACCCTCCCTGGATCAGGACGTCGCTCTAAACGGGATGAAAGAGCCAGAAGGAACCTGGTCAGAGAGGCGACCAAGAGGCCTACAGCAACTCTGAAGCAGTTGCAGGAATTTATGATAAAGAGTGGTCATTGTGTGCATGTGACAACAATATCACAAATTCTCCACAAATGTGGCTTGTATGGGAGGGTTGCAAGAAAAAAGCCACTTCAAGAAAGGCCACATGCAGTCAGGACTGAGCTTTGACAAAACGCATCTTGAAGATTCTGAGGCAGATGAGACTAAAATTGAATTATTTGGCCTCAACACCAAATTATATGTCTGGCAGAAATCCAATACAGCACACCATCCAAGTAACAGCATTCCTCCAGTAAAGCATGGATGTGGTAATGTCCTGTTATGGGGGAGTTTCTCTGCAGCAGGGACTGGAGCACTGGTCAGGATAGAAGGAAAAATGGATTGGGGTAGCGTCAAATGAGGAAAATCTGCTGCCCTCTGCCAGTTTACCTACCAGCATGACAATGACCCGAAGCACACAGCAAAACTGAGAACACAGTGGTTGAAGGAGAAAAAGGTGATGGTCCTTGCATAGCCTATTCAGAGCCCAGACTTAAAGGGTTAGTTCACCCAAAAATGAAAATTAGCCTGTGTTTTACTCACCCTCGAAGCATCCTAGGTGTATGTGACTTTCTTCTTTCAGACGAATCCAATCAGTTACATTAAAACTTGTCCTGGCCCCTCCAAGCCTTTAAATGGGGGTAAGCAGGTGTTTGTTGTCAACAGTTCAGAAGACGTGTTTACAGCAGTAACTTTGATGGCTTGAAACCTTTTTTGTCTAACAAATTTCCACTCTTCCCAATAACGCCATGATTCTGCATTATTTACCCAAAATAAAGTGTGCGCATCCGTAATAAAACGTCCCTCACATGGCTCTGGGGCGTGAATAAAGGCCTCATGTAGCAAATCAATGCGTTTTCGTAAGAAAAATATCCATATTTCAAACTTGATAAACACTTTTCTATCACTGGCCCCTGGCCACTGGGAAATGTGTTATTTTTGGGTGAACTAACCCTATCTACACAAATATACATTTATACAAAAATCTACACCAGATGGCTTGAAACCTTTTTTGTCTAACAAATTTCCACTCTTCCCAATAACGCCATGATTCTGCATTATTTACCCAAAACACATTGTAAAAAAAGATTTTCTGTAGTTGTAAAAAAAAAAAAAGATTACTGGAATGTTTTACAAGAATGTACTGTTTCAGTACTGTTTACTCTTTGTAGCTACTTGCCATTTCATTATAATTAATTGTGAAATGTACTACCAATTTCTGAGTGAAAATTGTTTCTATGCCATTTTTTCAGTGTAGATGAAGAACACACTTCAATGGTCTATGTAATTTTATGTGAAATATTTTTGTCCTAATATTTCTGTAGATGTTCAAATCTGTTCAGTGAACACCCTTTCAACTGACAACTGGCCTTACAAATAAAACTAACAGCAAATACATCACAGACTAAAACAGTTTGCCTTGGATTAAAATAGATATTTAGTTTGATGCTCTCTCCCCTCGTGTCTAGTTGTACAGAGGTTAGGAGAAAAAAAAACTATGTCAGTATTTATCTATAGGTGGAACTTACAGTATTTATAACAAATGGACAGATGCTCTAAAGTATTTTTGAAACTATACACAGTTAGGCTCTCTCTGTGCCCTCATCTTGATGTTGTGACTATCCTGCCATAATGTAGGCACATTTTCTCATTTAAATAAACAAGTCCAGTGAGTACACAGACCTGTGTTGTTTTGGAGAGTGTATACGTAATTACAGGCATTATACAATTCTGTCTCCACCTCCATTGTGATAGTGGTGCTCTGGTATTTAGTAGCACCAGACATAGATATCAATACTGCAGTAGAGGTACTCTAAGCACAGGTGTTAGGAAGTAGTCTTATTCTCTAATCAATTAATACGGTAACACTTTACAATAAGGTTCATTAGTTAACATTAGTTAACTACTTTAGTTAACATGAACTATGCATGTACAATACTTCTACAGCATTTATTAATCTTAGCTAATGTTAATTTTAACATTTACTAATGCATTATTAAAATCAAAAGTTGTGCTTGTTAACATTAGTTAATGCACTGTGAATTAACATGAACTAACAAAGAACGACTGTATTTTCATTAACGAACATTAACAAAGATTAATAAATACTGTAATAAATGTATTGTTCATTGTTTGTTCATGTTAGTTAATACATTAACTAGCATTAACTAATGGAACCTTATTGTAAAGTGTT